TGGGTGCAGATCAACATCCTCAGACAGCGTCAATGATAAATTGTTTGAGGTTAAGAGCGTAACTCTTGCCATAGCTTAGCCCCACACATCGGTGGTAAAGATGTGCACGTACTCACCATCACGGACTGCCTCAGGATGCCCAGCACACCCCTCAAATGTCTCGAGGGTGCCCTGTGCAGACTGCGTGATGCTTGAGAATGCCAAGCAGACAGTGCAAACCCGTATAACTGTGCATACCAAAAGAAGTGCTAGGGCATGCTAGGGCTGCTAGGACATGCCAATCGAGCCTCATCCATTGCCACGCCCATCAGCACAACCTGACATGTCATCTTAAAGCCGTTCTTGAACATATCTTGTAGTAGTTTCCGTTTTCTTTTCCATCCCTGCATAAACCCTATACAACCCTTATATAACCCCTATAGAATCAATATAGAATCCCTGTACAGTCCCTATAAAAAACCCTACAGAACCAACCCCTTCACTATCCCTTGATTCTCCCTATACATTGGAGGTCTCAAACACAACAAAGGATACCTCAGGCCTGGTAGTACTTGCCCGGGGCCAGCCCATTCTTCCGGTCGAAGAGCATGTTCAGCTCCTCTGCTAAAGGGATAATATAAGGATTCGCTAGGGATTTTCATATGGGTTCTGTAGGGATTATATAGGGATTATACAGGGATCATATAGGGATTATTTAGGGTTATATAAGGACAATGGAAAAGAAAATGGAAACTAGTATAGGTGGCTTCCTGGTTGTTTGTAGGGACCGAACGAGCATAGTCCCTATATCATCTCTGGAAATACATTATATAAGGATTATATTCCCTCATTCCCTAATGACTAAGAACCAGTATTTTTTAGGAGATTTCATTTTTAATATCCAGGTCGGCTTTCACCGAGTAAGTAAAGCAAGTCCCGTGCAGATGGCGTTGCACATGCAAGACGTCCTGTGTCTGGCCATACGTCCGGTAATAGCAGCCTCGGACAGCAAAGGCAGCCCCAACTGGTTCAAGACTTCATCTACTGTTGGAGATAGTAAGACTTCGTCTATCTTTTGGTTTTAGTAATAGCAATAATAGTATTCAAGACTTCGTCTATCTGTTAGATGCACGTCCTTCCCAAGCTTGTGAGGCTGGAAGGATGTAGGGCTCAAAGTTTGGAGGGGTGCAGAGGCGGAAGCCAGGAAGGTGGCTGGCAGGCCTGATGACTGGTCTTGGGGAAGCTTGTCTCTACGTTGAAACACACGAATTTCGCTGTGGTTTTTTCAGGCTGCTAGCAGGACTCTCCACATGTTTCGAGCCGCTGCCAAGAACCAACAGCGAAAGGGGAGGAATTCTCAAAACCTGCCAGTGTTCCGCTGCCAGGGGAAACATTTCAAAAGCCTGTTCTGTCAGAGCTGTCTTGTGATCCACCCTTGAATGGTGCCCCGAAGTCCCAAGGAAGTCTCGGACACCCAGCCTCTGGGCATGGGGAAGCCCAGTTCACTGTCGTCCGACCAAACCTCCCTGAAGAGCTTGCCGCAAATGTACCTGTGCTGCTGTGCTGCGAGGTCGAGGTCAAGGATTTCTACAAAAGCACTAGCAGATTGCAAGATGGAAAGCCTTCCTGTGTCTGCGAGTAGGAAAGATCACGGCCACATCTGGTTGGCAGGACACAAAAGGCTTCTGCATCAGCATGAATGAAAGTCTTCTCCTCATGCAGCCTACCTCGCAACCCCGCGCGACCTAACATTTGGGCCGTCACGTAGCCATGTATATTGAAAAGATGAGCAGAAAACGCATGAGACAGAAGATCACTTGCGTTTGCAACAAATGCCCCTACATCTCACGCAACATGGGGCTCGCAAAAGGTCAGCTTGGCGCACTGTCTGGCCTCATTGAGCTCATCCTCTCCCTGCAGCTGAATTTGTGACCAGAATCCGCGCAAGGGTGTCTCACATAATTAAGCATGACCGAAGTGGGTTGATGCTCGAAGCAGGCTTGCTCCTGGTTGTCTTCAATGGCTGCACCATCAGTGAACGTCGCTTTCAGAGCCACTGTCCTGGCAGCACGCAAACTTTCTGACCTAGGTTGGCAATCCAAATCAAAAAGCTTTCGTACACCGCCTCACGAAGTAGATTCGAAGGCGCATCCGGCCCTGGCACGATCAAGTTCATGCACATATTCCAAATTTGCTAGCATTCTGCCTCCAAGGACTCATAGCGCTTTCCAGTCTCTGCAGTGGCAGTCCTCACCAAAATACAGACATCAAGGCAGGGTTGCAAGCCCATTCCTGAGGCCGTGGCCTGAACGAAAGGATCATGGGCGCGTACGGTGTCATCTGCTTCTTTACGAGTGTGGTCAGACCTTGGAAGTGTATGTCGCCCAGTTCGGTAACATATAACACATAGCAAGGAACATCGATAGTCCAGATGAGCTCGGTGCTCACCAGACACTCGCTCATGGCATTGGGATCTAGCATGGTGAGGGTGCCAACCTGTGCACAGAACGGGGCTAAGGCGTCTTTGATAAAAATTGGATGGCAGCGGCCTCCGCCACATGCCGTGGCGCAGGACCTGACTCTCCCATAGCGGGCGTATACTTCCAGCAGACCTTCATACCAATCCTGGCAGAGATTCCACGTGCAGACTTGTGCCAAGCACATCAAGACGTTCGAGCGTCGGTGAAATTCAACGAAAGAAAGGGAGCACACCCGAATACGCTTGCAAAGTGGCCCCAATTCAAGCACTACGCCGCAACATGTCAGGAGTCTCCGAGCCTCTCTTTTTCTCCCATGATCTCTTCGCTTGTGATCGCCTGGCGCCCAGAGAGTTGCAGCACAAGTTTGGAAGTTTGAAAGTCGTGTTCATCTGCATGCGGCTTAATTTCGAAACGCTCCTGTCCAAGAGCTGTTGGCCACTCCAAGCACTTCAATTGGTACCCTTTTTGTGTCTAGCACTGATCTTGGCTGCCAGAGTCTGCTCCAGGTCTGCAGCTGGTAGGATCTTTCGCAGGCTTCGTAGGGTGCGCTCATTGGGGTTGATCTGCTCGTCGAGCATTTGTTGCAGCAAGTCTTCTGCCAATAAACTGTCTCTGGACCTGGTGACAGCATCACAGTAGACCAAACATGCAACTGCGGAACAAAACGCCTACAGCCGACGCAAAACTTCACTAATTATGTAAAGCTGACTCGAAAGCAACCAAAGAACCTGACAGCCGCGTGGATGCACGAACCGTAGACCACCTCATCTCGTCGGAGCTGCTGATCTGAAATGGCATCAAACAGATACTTCATGGTGTTAAGCTGTGAAGCCCTGCCGCAAGCAGTAATAGCCGAGGTATATGCCGGCAGGCATGGTATGCAGCCATCTGCCTGCATGTTGTCCAACTGCTTCAGAGCAGAGGTCCAAATAGCCGACTGCGAAAATGCATCCAGCATCGCCAAATGAACAGGAGAGGATTTCTCAAGCTTTCGATTCAGGCCGCGAAGAATTTCAAGCTGCGACTGTAACTTGCTTTGTATACCTGGTTGTGAGGTCTGTCCACTTAAGCCGGCTCTGATCAGTGCACCTGCGCTTTCTGCAGTAGGTTCATGACCCGCTTCAAGCATTCTGCGAAACAAGTTCTCTGCGCGCTCTGGAAGCCCTGCACGAACCACTGCATCAAGCAAAGTGTGGTACATCTGCAGGGTCGGAGTTATCCTGCTCTCCAAAAGCCATTGCTCCGCGCCAGGGACATTGGATGACTTTGCAAAGGCATTCAGCACGGAAGTGTTGGCGGCATCCCTGTCTGCTGAGCTGTGCGGCGTGTTGCTTCTGTGCATCTGATCCAGCAGATGCAGTGCTCCGTTCACATCACCACTTCGACCACAGGCTGTAATAGCTAAAACGAAGCAGACCGAATCGGGGCAAAGGCGCTTTGCACCCATCTCTTGCAAGCAGCTGGCCGCTTCTGCTGCAAGACTTTGCTTCGCGAAGGCTTTAAGCAATCCGGCATAACTCCGGCAATTTGCCATGCATCCCAACTGGTGAAGCCAATAACGTGCTTGCTCGACATCACCTGCATTCCCGGCAGCGTCCACCAACATGTTAACCTTCATTTGGAAGTCCTCATCCTTCAAAGGTGCCGGGCGCATCTTCAGATTCTGCAGGAACCTGCGCCAAACCTCCTCGGACTCTGCGGTAAAGCCGCCTTTGGCGGCCGCTTTTATTATCTTTCCGAACGTGCGATGCGTGGGGCTTACCTGATAGCTATGCATCTGAAGAAGATGTGCCTCAGCTCCCTTGTAATCGCCAGCGCAGGCATATGCTTTCAGCATTAAGTTCCATAAGAAAGATGATTTTGAGAGGTGAGTGCCTCGAAGGCGAAAGAAGTATTCGGCAGCAGCCACGACATCGCCACGCGCAGCGGCGGCATCCATCTTATTGATGGCTCTTGCCTCCAAGGTTTGAATCGCAGCTGGGGGTGGTGGCCGTGCTGCATGAAAAGCACGACCACCCGTGGAGAATCTAGGCAGCAGCATTGTGACAAGCTGGGAATCGATTTGCGTACCATGGCTGGCATGTGATCAAAGGCTCGTCCCATCTAATCGACAGCGCTGGGTTGAATAGCTGGCGGTTACCGGAGTTCAGGCACGGACCCCTTGAAACCAAAAGCCATCTCATCTATGCACTTGGAGCCGGCTGGATTGAGGCAGGCCTTGTTATGTCGCTGCCAGCGCCCTCGCCGATTGCTGATGTAGAGCACCAGAAACCTTGGTGATCCAACCCCTCATGATCCCTGACGCCATGAGGATACAAATCCTGCTGTACCTGTTTTGAGAACAATCCAACGCTGAAAGCGCAGAATCCGACGATGTTGTCAGGCAGATTCGCCATCTGCACGGACTGACTACTGACCACCAGGAGCGCGCGATCTGGCAGCCGAACAGCTGGATGCTCTTTGGCATCCACAGTTTCCGACCGGGAACCTTTGGGTCAAACCAACCCGACTCAGGCAGTTCTCGATGTGGATCAAGATGGATTAGCAGTTTGCAGGTCCACGGCCTGAGTCCATCAACCGAGGACAAACTTCTCTCATCAGGGACAAAAGGGAGTCAAAGAGATGCTGGCTCGAGGCTCGATGGGTAGGGGCAACGATCGAGCGGTCCCAGATTCGCTCCCTGCACCTGGAAAGCAAACTATAAGGGTTACATCGAGGCTGTATTTGGAACTGCTATAGTATATTGGGGTTATCTTGGGATAATGGAAAAGGAAATCGAAACTACACATATATTTTAAGGAACACATAAATGGATGCTGCCGCCTACAAATGCCAGACCTTTGCACCACGCTTCCTCAGGGATTCACAGATCTTTTCATAAGTCCTGGGTATGGCGTGATGTCCACAATGCTCTGCAAACGATAGCACATCACGTGAAATCAAGGTGGGCAAACGAGTGTTCTCTGATGGCAGAATGAGTTTAGACAAGCATCTCATATTTGTCGCTAATGTAGGAAAGTCCACAGACACTCCAATCGTAAGGTGTTGCTCTGCCCTCATCACAGGCTGTCAGGTCCGCGTCGAAGTCTGCCAGAAACTCTACTACCTGAACGCATCTACACCCTCACGATGAGCACAACAGTGGCATCACAGTACTGCATCTGCACACCTCCAAGTGCCCCTTCTGGCAGGCGAGACTGACAGGTGTCTTCCAATTCCTGTCTTTGGCATTGATGTCCTGCACATGTAAATGTTGAACAGCACGGGCTTGTGCAAGCCATTGACTTGCTATTGCCTCTGCACAGCTGAGCAGTTCTGAGATTTCTGAGCAACGGACGGCCCCCAACTCCAGCAAGTACTCCAGCGTTTCCAGGTGGCCCTCTTTGGCTGCCAGATGGATCGGCTGTGCACCAAGCCTGGCGCTCACAAGAAGGTCAAGAACAAACTCCTCAGAGACGTGTCCAACCTCCCAGGCCTGGAAGTTGCTTCGTGAATATCTGCCTCATGCTCTATGAGAAGCTTCAGAACTCCTCGGAGTCTGAAAGGCCGCTTCTTGTGTAGGCCGTCTGGCATGTTAGGACGGACCATGTGATCCACAGATCTTGAAACAAATTGAAAAACAGTAAAGCCCAGCGACCCAAATTACCAAGTGAGGCAGCTGTGTGTATTGGCAACCACCCACCAGCAGGTCCAGGCTCATGCACGCTTGCTCCTTTTCACAGATCTGGCCCAGAGCGCCAAGTCCGACACACTGGGCTTGCCTGCGCGAAGGGCGGCAGCTACCGGCTCCACTGCACCGTAGGAGACCGCCGCACGCAACTCCTGGCTACACTGGTCGGACCTACTTGCTGCCAGAACCAACAGAAAGTTCAAACTTCATAAACCCAGAACCAGCAGACGACAATGCCTCCTGTGCGTTCATGAGCCGTTGGTCGCCATCAGTGCAGCGAGGAAACAAAACACAATGCTGGCTCTCTCGGGGTCATTGCTTCAGCTAGGCTGGTTGGATGGGCAGATGGCTGAGATATTAGATGCTCGGCTGAAAGCCCACGGCCAAACGTTCACAATGATGATAGGTCTTAACACAACAAGGATCGACCTGCTCGACCTGGGGGCCGGATTTTGTCGAGTGCCTGGCTGTGGCTTCGGATCTGGCCAGCCAACGCGGATGGTCACCTGTTGGGGCCCGCGGCGCTGTCTTTTTTGAGGCACATCACTCACCGTGTCATACACCGAATTCACAGGATTGTTGCTTATCATGGCCGGAGCTTATGTTTAATGCAAATAGCATCCGCGACATAAGACCAATGTGAACATATAGTTTCCTGAGAGAACTACCGGCATCACCCAGGCCTTCTTTGGATCAGTAGGGTTCACTGTCACCGCATGGCCTGACCGACATCCGAAGCACAATTGCATTCATCTTGGAAGCAGGGTAACACAAAGCTCGTGGCAGAAAGCAAAGCATGGAAAACCGGCCTGAAATGTATTCGTTCGGAGCCGAGTTGTGGTTGTCGAGCCTATCTGCCAAGTCGTACCGACCCTGGCATGCGCGTCACTCTCTACATGGCCCAGAACCACCACAACAGCCGGTAAGAGCAATTGTCACAGTGGGCGCGCGCCCTCAGGACGGATAGACGCTCGTCATTGCAAACCTTGGCGAGCAGTTCTCTTCTACGGGCGTCGCACATATTGCACGTTTGAGCTGCATGGATGGTGCGAAAACCGCGAACTCGAACATGCTCTTTGCAGCGTGTGAGGCTTGCGCAATGTTTGACTGTCCAGGAGCACATGCGAAATTTTCGCCTCAGCAGCGTGCACACGCTACATACAACAGCCTGAACTAATAAATGAGGGAACGCCGTGCTCAAGACCCAATGTGATGAGATCACCATCTGAGAGTCCAGAGGACGCCTGCCAACACAGTTGTACAAGCGGAGATGGTGACGAGAGGCCGCCATGCATAGGCGGCAGAGTCGAACTTGGATTACCGAACCTCAAACTCGAGTTCTGTGGTGGAGTCATCAAGCACTGTGACAGCCTGGCAACATGATGCCATGCACAGGGATCCCGTAAACGATCCTCTTATTAATTTGCTACATGCCGCTGCATGCCCTTTGCTTTGTCTGCATGGCTTAGAAAGCATAGATGTGCAAATGCACTGCAAAGGCCTTGATGTCGTTGGTTCTGCAGTCAGCATTCTGAATATCGCACATATACGTGTCAGCTGCCAGCACGCCGACCTCTAGCTCAGGCTTCCAGTGGGCTTCCGGTCTTACGGGCCCCAACTGGCCGTGGCTCCGACCGAGATGTCTCCATTCAGGACATCGTTGATCTCGCCAACCTATTTCGCCACCACTCTTGCATCATGCTTGCTGTGCATGTCGACACATATCAGGCTGCTTGCCTCGGAGCACGGATGGGGGCAGCCCACCTTGATGCTGGTGACCTGGAAAGAGGCTGCTGTGCAGCTGGGAGATGCAATAAGATGAGATAGCAAGTCCAAGAACTAGCTTTGCTTTACAAAAAGGCCCTGGCGCCCCAGGCAGCTCGCGGGTTGCCGTTCACATCCGAGCACTGGGAGGTGGCTGGAATGATGCGGATTTTGTCATCCTCGCGGCGGCACCATGTCGAATCACTTTGACATCATGCACTACGCAAGGGCATCAAGAGTCGCCTTCGCCAGGCCCCACCCGGTGTACTCGATCCGGAATACTACCTTTGCTTGCAAAAATAACGGATGCACAGAACGCCTCCAGCTGTACAGCCAAGCCACATTTGTGGAGACAGTCCAACCTGACAGCGCAAGAACAAAACTCTTATATGCCAACCAGGGTCACACGAATGTGCCAGAACAACAAGACCATTCAATGAACACGTCGCGTTGAGGCAACCGCTCTGCCCTGGACCCGGCCCTCGAATTGTAAGACGATTCACCAAAACCTGCAGTCAGCATTTCTCGAACCAAACGTTTGAGAGTACTGCAAGTCAAGCCCCCAACCCACTGGTCGTGTGCGCACACCTCAGGCCAACAAAGGTGCTACTAGAAGAGTTAAGTGGGGCTGTCTCAGACCATAGGAAAACCTGAAGCTGCAGCTCCAGGAGTGTCAAGTACTGGCCGGGCACAGTAGCACACCGAGATAAAGCCCGCCTGCAAGCCAGGCATCCATGGAACACTTCTAGTAAGAACTCCTCAAGCTGCATTGCGGCCAGCTCACGAAGCCCGGCTAAAAAAAGGGACTATGTATCTTCGAGTAAATATGTACGCAAACACAAACACTAACACATACACGCAGATAGAACGAGAGTAGATGCACCTGTGTTTGAAAACTATACATGGGAATTCGGGTTCCTGTTTTTCTGTACGCGAACCCTTTACCCAAAATCTCAAATTCAAGTCAGAACTCTCATTTGCGAGGCCTGGATCTGTTTCTATATGGAGATTTCCCAAAATTAGGGGTACCATTTTGGGGGTCCCTATAATAAGGACTATAGTATATTGGGGTCTATATTGGGGCGCCCTTGTTTTGGGAAGCTACCATATACATCCTTCAGTACTTGTGCTTCAAGTTTCCAAGGGCAAAGCTTTGCCAAAAGCTGGGCAGATTGAGGCCTCTCTTGGCTTGGAACTGTGGGAGCTCAAAAGTGGTGAGAAGCCTCATCAATCTTTTTGACTTTCGGGATCAGAGAGAATAAGGCCTATCATGATTTCGGGACTTAGGAGCTCCAAAATGCAGAGAGGCCTCAACGGCTTGGGTTCTGGTCAAACAAAGCCGAGAGGCCGCAACCTTTTGGATTTTGGGGCGCCCAAAAGTTGATTCACTTGAGGCAATCAACTTTTTTTTGCACAACGTACCGTCACAAGGTTGCATACCTGAACAGATCAGCAACAGGTACGCCTAGGCACGGAAGGGGGAACACATTTATGTATATCTGTACATATGTGTGTATATACATAACTCACATAAACATGCGCACATATGGGTCCACACGTACATACACATGCCACAAAATTGCAATCATATTTGTTGATTGGCTGCAGAACGCTGCCAGGCCTTGTTAACGGTGATTGTGTTGGCGAGAATCCCGTTGTTGAAGACCAGCCTGGCAGTTGTGGGCTTCGAGGCGCAGCTGCAATTTGCAAACGACACTGCAAAGCAACTCGCACAGGGGTGCTTGTTCATATCAGTTGCTGCGTTGGTTCTCCCACTGTACGCCGTCGGTGCCTAGAGGAGAGCATGTTCACCCGATGAAAACTTCCTGCCGTTGTCAATTTTGGCTATCTCAGCTGCACACGTTCTGTATAGTCAGCGTACTGGGGTCGACCAGAGTGGTGTCGTACCTCTCTGGACACAGCCATCACAGAAGCGTGAGGTCAGAATGGGGCACTGAAAGTCCAACCGAAAAGATTGTGCGGTCTGCAATCTAGGCAGCAGGCGTGGCAGCGACGCAACCGGCATCGGTGAGGGTCAGATCAGGATCCGAGACCAGCTTCAGTGCGCCTCCTTCCTGGAACAGGAATTGCAACAAGAAGCTTACATACTGTATTATTGCTAAGCCGTTCGCCATGAATGAAGCGTCAAACGTGAGCGAATCAATCCACAAGACATGCACGTGATGAGCATATGGCTCTGTAGCAAGCCCAAGCCTGCAAGCCCATGACACCGTAGTCGATCTGGCATGCTGGTTGCATGACTTTGCCAAGCACACGGTTTCAGATTATCAGATCCCTATTTGGAATATTACTTATGGAAACTTGAACTTTGGGAATAAGTAAGTTCGGAACACTGCAAGAAGATCTTCAGAATTCTGGTCTTAACTGCCACTTGAGGATCAGGGGTTTTGCCGAGACAACGCCACAGCCAGGCTCACCCATGGACGGTAGAAGCCAAAAGTGCCAGGTGTGTTCATGTATTCAAGGATGAACTCTTCTTGCCTGAGCTAAAGGAGGCAAAGAAGACTGAAGTGGATGACAACTTGCTAATGCTAGGAGCTTGGCAAGACCGAGATGTTCGATGCCGCACTGACAGGCTGGAAGGGAGCAAAACGCAACTGGCCCACCTGCCAGGTCATGCCAGGTCGTCTCATACCGCGTATCTCACTGTTTGACGTCACAGGCCTTGCCTTGAACCAATTCTCAGTCGCTGTGCACATTCCATCGCAAAAGCAGACCTGAGCCCATTACAAACGGATGCCTAGAAGCCAAGTCTTGAAACATTCACACGCACATACGCCTGTCAATGCAAGACAACTCATGATGCGAATGCGCCTGCACTGATTTCAGCACCAGCTTGCGAATTAAGTGCTCTGCATCGAAAGTCTCCCCGGAGTACCGGCTGCGGAGTTCATGATCCGTAGGCCCCGTCCTGACAAAAGACCCAGCGTGCCAATGCCCCGCCCCCCTGGACTCGAATCCAAAAACCGAACGTGCTCGGAAGTGTCGTTGACTGTCAGTGGATCATTTTTGGCTGCAGTCAGCGCGGGTACCCTCGGCTGTGCAGAGCAGAGGAGGTCTGAAGATAAGTCGATAAGCATCAGGCTACTTACTTGCACTGTCTGCATCTCCATCTGCAAGGCACTGCCAGGCTAACATTGCATGATCGGCACGACCTGACTAATCTTGGAAGCGTCAGCTCCTTATCAAGTCATTGTGTTATCACCTGGCTATCTGCTAGTCTGTTAGAAAGACATGATGGCCTCATACGCTGGGCAGGAAAACCGTCGCCCAACGATTGGCAATCCACCGGTTTGCCCTCCCAACTCTGGTTCAGTGCGCAATTCACGTCAACGATGCTAGTATGGGGTCTGAAGTCAGGAGTTGGGAGGGCATCACCTGTCCCTTATGCTATACACAGAGAAAGAAGTTGGTGACTGGAATAGGCCAAGCCTGCATGGAGCAAAATCAACAGTAATGAAAAAAAATGTCTGAGATTGGCCTATTCCAAGCACCAAGCCAGGATTTCTGCAGGACACATTGTCACTGCCCACCATTAGCTGCTCACAAAGCAAGATGTCAGGCTCACGCCTTCATCTCTGGCTCCTTCTAAGAACAGGGCAGCATTCCCATCAAAGTGAACGTCTGCATCCAAACACTGCTGGCAAAGGATTGGCGCCTGGAGATTCTCCGGGGGCTCTTCTTCTGCGATTTCCTCTCTCTCATCCTGCACTGTGTCGAATTTCTATGCATCATCAAAGGCAACTGTCTCTGCTTCTCCTCATCAATACCTTTTTGAAGCCATCCGGTCGGAATTCTGCGCTGCTCGTGCATGGACTTGGTGGGAAACGCTTTGCAGCATACAGCAGAGCCACTACCGCTAACCTAAATGGACCAAGCCACTGCAAGCTTGCCAAAGATCACCACAGAATCCTGCAGGCTGTTTCATACCGAAAAACACATCAGGCCTGACACATGGCACACATGCATCTACAGTCAAGTCCTGCTTTCCTGACTTCCAAGCCTTCCAAGTCAACTAAACATCAGGGATGCTGAGACGGCCTTAGGAGTCATGTTCAGCCCCAGGACCGGTTCCAACACTTCCTGCCTCCTCAAGGGCACGCAGCTCCTTGTGAGGTATCGTGCCTATCATCAGCAGCTCCTGTGCCATCCAGAAACAGTAACATAATAATAATAATAATACTAATAATAATAATGCTACTACTACTGCTACTACTACTACTACCATACCATTACTATTGTTATTAAACACAGTCCTCCACAATGTCTCGTGCGGGCAACACCCGTCCGGAGCCAAGGCCAGCACCGACTTCCACCAAGTCGATCTTGTCCAGCCTTGTTTTGCACTACAGAAGAAGGGCAAGCACTAGTAAATTACTAGTAAGTGCTTACAGCACTTACACTTCTACTCTACTGTACTCTTAAGGCCGGCACTCCTCAGCAATCTGTGCCTCAGTGAGCTCATTCATCTTGTCGTTGAGCGCCTGTGAAAGAATGCACCCATGAAGAGTCGAGTGTGTGAGTTAGAGAGGACCGAACCTTCAACGCATCGAAGGCTTTGTTGCCGGGGTGAAGCATGGAGCGTGGCTTGCCAGAGAATTCCCTGTACAGTACCAGATGAAAAGCTCCAACAGTTCGCAAAGTCCGGCTGCGCACATCTTATGAAAACTCACAACCAGAACCAGCCTCTCGTAATCATTGAAGACCCAAAAGAAACCATCTAGCATTCCTCGGTAGCTTCAGTTGAGTCCCATCGCAAACCCACGTGTGATGCACAAGTATGCAGACAGGATGCCCTTCAGAGGGTCACCTGTCATGTTGTCACCTGTTAGCAGCAACTGTCAAAGCAAAATCTACAGCAAGTGCCGGAAGACCTGGAAGTGCATCTTCGGGTTCACCCTCCTTACCAAAACACACATGCTGTGTTGCTAAGTCTGGCTGCCATTCTTGATAGGAAGCGCCTCCTCAATCATTTTCTCCTCCTCCCTCACTTCTTGCAACACCTCGGCATCCGGACAACTTCAGATGAAACACAGCACACGAGGGTGGCTTCGTCTTGCGGGATGCCTCCTTCTCTGTGTGCTTCTCCAGAGGCACGGCTCGCTTGCCAGCCTCAACCAGGTGATCCACAAGCCTCAGGAAAGGCGAGCGATCCCGGAGCCTATTGTGGCTTGGAGGCCTGACTGGCGATGCTTAAGTTGAGGACCGCTTGGTGTGCTTGAGCCCCATCTGCTGCTGATCAGCCACCTGGACTGAAACTCAAACCAAAGCCTGCAGATTTCTCAGCATCGCAACTGTGCGACGCACTAGGGAGCGCACCAAGTGCAGCAGAGTATCAGCCAGCTTTGCTGCCTCCAATCAGGTCAGTACCCACAGAAATTTATGCAAATTAGAAAGTTGACTCACACAACCAGTGCCATATCGCGAGTGCTGCTCCGGCCTTTTCCTTGTTTAATCCAAGGTCTTTGGATGTTTCATCCACAGTGGCTTTGACCCTAGCCTGCAAGCATGTGAAAGTGCGTGACTGTGAGAGCCGCTGGAAGACACGGATGCTCAAGCCTCAAAGCTCTGGTATGTCACGTTCAACAGCTTCATGAGCATCTGCGCCTGCAAGATAGACTCACACTGAGAAACGGATAGTTTCATTCACGACAACGATAGAAGCACTTTTTAGATAATTGTGAGCATTGGCTTGTGTTCCTCTACTCTTAGGTGATGTGATGCTGGTCTGCAGCAACAAGGCAACTTCCAACCTCGTGGGATTCATGGATGTCGTCTCGGTATTCGGACCACAACTCCATTCCAACCTCCATGCTTCGTAACATGTACGCAGAGGAGAATGCCACAGCAGCCAGCGGCCACATGTATAGCCTGCGCAAGCTTCGAAGCTGCATGATGCTCCTCTTTTCGGAGCTCTTTATGCAGGCTCCTCCTTTCCAAGTGGATCCTGGCCGTTTTCAAGCCGAAGCATCTGGTCGCCAGCTAACTTGCATTGTGAAAGGCTGAGTCTTCCACTCAAACTGCGACCACACACCGAGAAGACCGAGGATCCCGATGCAGCCAAGACTGCCAACAACTAGACCGATCAATCTCGTCCGCTTGATCCTAGGCAAGGACTGCATGGAGGCGTGTTGCTGGCATCACAGATGAAATCACTTCTAGCATGGTGAAAGCATGGCTGGAAGCCAAGCAACGCATAACCCAGCTCTGTGTCCTGCGGGCTCACAGAGATACTGAAAGGCATCATCGCAAGATCTGGTGACTTGGGAAGCTAAGCGCAAAGCATTTGCTCCAATCTTGCTCTTTTCAAAGCCAACCTTAGTCCGACAATAATGGTTTGCTCGGGTGGGCGGACAGGTGTGGGCTCTTCTCTTAATTCTGGGCCCCTTTTGGTTACAGATTATACTACGGCACCGAATATTTAGGGACACCAAAATGGGATCTTAATCTTGGGAAATGTGCATCTAAGAAGCGGTGGTGAACAGGTCTGGAGTCGTCATTCAAGGCCCAAAGCCCGGCCAGGGCTGTCAAAACTGGGACAGATGCTCTCTTCATGAGCCCAAATTTGCGGAGGCCAAGCTATCTTGCAGTGCCAAGCACAAGGATACACGAACAAGAAGCTCCACAAGACAGCCAAGCATGTGGGCAGACATTGAAAATGCCAAACACGATTGAAAATGCCGAACACGTGCAATCCAGGCTATCCTGAAAAGAAAACCGGATGTCTTCGCGTCGAACACCAGGCCCTGGGACGAATTTTTGAAGTTCCAGATCTTGTAGTCCTCGCGCATTGCAAGGTTTCCTCATGTGCGAAGGCATCTACAAGGGCTAACAGGACGTCACAGTCCTGACGCATGCCACCATGCATAGTGGCCTCATGGTGCATTGAGACACAAGAATCCAAAGCTGCCACAAAGCACTTCGTCGCTGTCATCTTCCAAGTTCTTGGCAACATCTGGGTTGTCATCACTGGGTAAGACCTCACTTGTCAAAAGAACCAGTCCAAAGCGAAGTCAGGAATCAGGGCATGGAGCCTGCACGCCCAACATGCTCATGCCGTGCACGGCAGCGCCACATCCAGAGGAAGTATCCCAGGCAGGCAGATTATTGTTTGCCTGGCTGCAAATAATGTAAGCTGGCAGACGAGACAATGAAGAACCAACGACATCAGTACTACTCGCCTCCTGCTTCACAACTTTGATTCGGCTTGTCGCTGCATATGCACAGGCGGTGCTGGGACACTCCACTTTGAGTGCCTGAGAACTGTCGTGAGCATGGCTGTCATCAAGCAAAAGGTTTGCCCAGTAAGGGCAAAACGAATCGGTGCTGCGGCGTGGCACCTGTCACGTACTTGACTGTACTGCCAATAAGTCGGACTGTACCTCTCCCGAAAGGCTGCTCCCTTCCTTAGCTGAAGCATGTTTGCTTCATCTCACAGTTATCACCTTGGACAACACTTGAGGACCAATAGGCATTAAACGGAACGCATCAGTGAGATGAGAGATGTTCTGAATCAAGACTTACCAAACTCCTTGGCTGACCCTTGAAAGAACTTGTTCTAGCACTGGTGTTCTGGCAAAAGCGAAGCGCATCTGAATAGCTTGAACCTGCTTACATGTCTCCGCATACCTAACACCTGGAGCCCAACTCGACAGGTCAATCCTCGGCGCCTGTGAAATCCAGGGCGCATGCAACTGCCTCAAAGCCATTGGGGCAGACCTTCAAAGAGGCTTTGCAGTAAGTCACAGACTGCTTGGACATGCTGACTGGCCCAAACCACTTGAAGTGCTTGTCAAGTTGCTTTGGTCGCAAAGAAGTACAGAAGCCCAACCTGAACGCTTTGACCCAAGCTGCACACAACACAGGGGGACCTACGAAGCCCCCGCCTGCTGGACGTAGTCAGGGCTGAAGGAATCACATCTTTGAAAGTCTGGACAATAGCATGCCTCAGCAACATCTCAATTACAAAACTGCGATCTGTGACTGCCAGGGCATCAAACTCAATGACTGGGCTTGCAGCTGCGACTGCATAAGCCTTAAAGCTCGGCCCCTGCAGGTCCGGTCGCCCAGGAGGAACCGTCATCCCTCAGGGCAGGGCTGAACGCAGAGCTCGAGACCTATCATTTCGATTGGTTCCGAGGTCCGTGCTCTTGTAAGCATGCACCGGGTCCGGAACGATGTACGGGTTCTGCATGTGGTTTCATGCTGCATAACTACCAACGAAGAGGCAAGAATAACACACAGCATGCAAGCGGTCCCTTGTGCCCAGATCTCCGCACGAACCATCCGCGTTACAAAGAAAAGCTGCAGGAAAATCACCCAACTTAGCATGCAAATACGCACAGCGAACGCATGCGGCTGGCAATCGTGAAGGCTGGACTGACGCTGAGCTTCAGACGCCACTGGAGCCGCATGTGCGCAGAATCTCCGTGGTAACCATCCCGTTTGAATCATAATCTGGGCAAGCACAATGCTCTTCTAGCTGAAGCATCCTCGTGTAGCTTTCAATCTTTAACTGCCTCAGCCCTCCACTTGTGGCAAACTCGCCTGTCCAAGAGCCTCTGCCTCCACCTGGAAGTCCTCGAAAACCTGCAACGCTACAACGTATTGTATCTCGTTCGTGCAACTTTCTGCAGCAGTTGCTGTACAGCTGCCTGCTCCGTCATAACTATAATCGATGACACAAGAGGTTGTGCCACCATAGGCCTCATGGCAATGATTGGCAAGTTTAGTTTAACTGGCAGGAGGCAAGCGCACTGCGACGTGCAACAATCACAACCCAAGCCTAGCCTTTCTTTAACTGTCAGTGGTGGATCCGGGGTGGTGGAAGGGTTCTCTACACGAGAGCGTTGCGCGCTTCGCCAACAACTGCAGGAAGTTCCCCAGTGCTGTCGGAGATTCCCAAGGTGCTTTAAAAGCCCCATGGTTCTTGTAAGAACTCCCTGTAGCTCAGTTCTTCTGAAACAAAGTTCAGCAATCGAAACGGTTGAGTCATGTGAATTTCAAGTTGGGAATGTCTGACTCCTGAAGCCTGGCAAGTCCAGGAACATGCACATCCTGCCCATGTGGGACTGCAAAAAAAAGCCAAAAAACTCACAGGCTGGCTGAAGCTGCAAACCTGCACAAAGCCTTCCACTGCCTCCCCAAGCCCACCTCCTGCAATCGCTTCCTTGAACATGCATCGCACAACACGCTTCCACTCACCAAGGCGAAATCCTGCTCAGGATGCCGTTTGGACAAAAAGCTTCGAGGACCAATCGTGTGGTTAGTAAAGAACTTGGGAATACGTGAACCCCACAGAGCAAATTGCGGGACAACTGCTGGGATTATCGTCAACTGCGACAACCAAGAAACACCAAGGCAAAAGTAGGAGCCATGAGCGAGAAAAGACTCTCCAGGCAAGGAGTCCGAACTGCCAAAGCAAGTCGGAACCACAGAAACCCCAATGCTGCAATCGGCAATGGCAGTATCTTTCATTTGCGTCGGCCGGCCGGCCTGGCCTGTGAAATTGCAGCGTGATTTGTGTGTGTCAGCCTGAAAAAACTACGAGTACTGCCACTCACTGAAAACCTTGTCCGGGAGTTTTCAGAATTACCAAGACGATAACTGCATAACCTCACCAATCTAAACCTCATAATACAGTGATCCTCCAGCGCAATTTTCTGATTTACACTTAGAAGCCTTTCTTTCCAAAGCGAGATTACACGGGTGGGATTCGCTTCAAGCAGGTCCAGCTCCGACCCAGATTTCTTCGAGACGATCCTACAGGTGTAAATCGAGGATAAGAAGGATGATTGCCAAAACGAATGGCTCTACTTCGATTTCCCGGTCCCACTGTCCAAGTTGCAATAAAACATGGGACAGTTTTGACATCGCTGCCTTCTTCTCCACGTGTCAGTATCTTCTTTCAATTGCACTGCAAGTTTTCTCGGGCAAATTTCTTCCTTCAATTTGCATGCAAAGAAGAAATGGATCTAGTATATGGCCCAGCCTTTTCCTGACATTGGTCTCATTATGGTTCGGACTTGGCCAGCGGTGGCTTGTGGAACTGCCCCGATTCTTTGTGAAATCGACGTGCATCAAATTAATCTTCCGCTTCGTGCAACTGGCGGTTTAACCTCTGGGGTGCATGTTGGATGGTCAGACTCCGGAGGAGCTGCCATATTCCCAAGACTCCCAAACTCCCACCCACTAGAATCTGTCATGTCTGCTTCAAAATGTCTTTGTTTACCTGGTGGCCAGTCAACCGATGGGCGCTCTATGGGGTCTACTAAAGTTCAACAACAGCATGGCGTTGACTGAGCAGATGAGTAGCAATTTCTTGTCCGGCACGTGCTAGCATCAAAATTCCTACCAACAGGGGTCGTACTCCCAGTATTGCTTGACCATGTAGATACGTGGAGGTTTCTCAAAATGGCAGGAACTTAGATATGGAGTAGAAGTGGACAATGGGGTCTCCACGACTGCAAAAAATCTACCTTGAGAAACCCTCTCACGTATATTTCTGTACCAGTGCCAGTACAAGTTGAGACGTTATGAAGTGCAAGACCTGCTGCCAGGATGAAAGCTCGTGAAAGATGTTGGTATCAGTGCAACTGTCTAAACACAATCTAGCACTTTATAGTATGTCACAGATACGGTCAATTGTACGTTGCTTTGAGTTCTGATGACGACTACAACTTTACTACTCTGCTGGCTACAGCAGATTAAAAAGCTCGTAGCTGTTGCCCTCAGGTCGTCACCTAACTCATCTACAAGCAGGCTGCACACTTGACCACAAAAGAGCTGATGCAATTTCGATGAGAAGCACTTTACCAACAAAGGATCTGCTGCGGCATTAGGTTGCTCAGAGCTGTCTTGCACAGGACAGCACTGTGCCATGAGCAAATCTTTTCTGACGATTTCGCGGGCACTTGTTATTTCAATCTGGAGGTCGCCTGAAACGACAAGACTCTGGGGCAGAGGCATTGATTCTTGACAGTCTTCACACGCCCCGAACTTTCACGTTTCCAAAGTCACCCGATACGCATACATGCACTCAAAGCATTTTGTAGATCTCGAGGGCAGCTGGGACCTTTCGACAAAGCTGCCAACTTCCAAGCTGAGGTTCCGACGTCTTCCATGTTGTTGAAGGCTTGTCGTCGTAGGAAACACTTGTACGGCCGCTTTGTCAGACAGGTCTCATCTGCAAGCAAGCGCAGCATTTGACTCCCGAGGCCATGTCCACTCTTCTCGTCTCAAAACAGTGCGCCTTCCGCACACTGGGTCCTTGAATCATATATGCCGTAGACCTGCCAGCTCAGAAGGAACAAAGGAGAGGAGCCAAATCAAGCTGACCAACATTCATGCTTTGCAAGTCCCACCTCAATTCGTTGAGGCACAATGTCAGTGTGCCCAGGTGCAAAGGAGCCATCATCAGAGTAGCATAAATGGTAGATGCCGCCCATCTTAAACCTGATCCAGAAATATGCATCTCTGTCAACTCCGCAAGCTGGGATGCGCATCTGAGCACTTCAGCACAGCAAACTTGGGAGCCAAACGTAAGCTGAATAAACGTTGCCAGGTCGATCTTGGCTTGCATGCTCCCATCTGTGGCAGGCTTGCAGCTGGCATCATTCCATGAGGAGGTATGACACGTAATTACAGCACAGAGGGGCCTAGCGTGATTGTGGATGCGCCAACACCCGACCTCATCAGAGGAATGACCACAATGAGCTAAGTGCTCACTGCTGCTGTTTCCAGGGGTTTGGCCATGGCTGGTTCACGGTCGCAGAATGTGCTCCGTACGCAAAGTTCCCATATCTGCACTGGCCAGCATTTGCACCGGCCTTGGCACCAGAAATGACAAAATATGTGGCATCTGCTACTCGCCTGCTTTTGCTGACAACTGTCCATTTGCGGTGCAAGTGAATTAGATTTTTTCGCCACTCATCAGGTTTCGGTTCCTGAATCTGTCACAAAATCATGATGCAGATCGTACTGAGCAGGGCTGCAGGTGGCACAGATTGGGTACATGACTCAACTTGCACCTGAACATGTTTTTAAAGCTTACTAATGGAAGGTCGGTCCCCAAAAGGTTTCCTTTCTCGCGTCTGTTCTCCAACCACACCCTTCCCTTTACTCACCATGATGAAGCCGTTTAATTCGTGTAGGCATGCTGTGTGTTACCTCAAAGCATCAAGAGAAGTGGTGTGTCTGGGCTCCAATTGCCCGGAGCTCTGAGCAAATCCTGATGATTGAAGACGCGCCTCTAGACCCCATCCGAAGTTGCAAATTGCAACGACTGTATGCTGCCTTCAGTGTTCCTGTGCAAACATGCGTTCGGCCCATGCCTGAGGCAGTTCTGCTTTTTCATTTTCATTTTTCTGGCAGGCTTGCAGAAGTTATCACTCCTCATCACTGCTTGCGGACTCCCCTGAATGAAGCTCGTATCTGGTGTTCGGCGACTCCAATGCACACATTCGTGAAGGTCAGCATGCAGTAGTGCTTCTGACTTCGCATGCTGCTGCTGGGTGCTTTGATTCCAGCTGTCATATCACAGTCAACTCAAACTCCTCTTGGTGGGTGAACATCCACCTCCGTTTCCGCTGTTTGTCAAACTGCAAGAGGTCAGAGGTGCACAGTACATGTTGACATAAAAGCTGCAGCGGCGCCGTTACATGATGCGAAACCAGGTTGACGGACCGACGGTCATACATGCATGAAGAGGTGAGCTCAAGTTGCCTGGCCAGTGTTTTTGTGACTGTGTGTATTATTCTCGTACATGAGGGCCCACTGCCTCATGAGCGGAACATGTCACAATTTTGCTGCACAGGTCATGTGTTATGGAAGTGATTGGAAGTGTATTGGATGCTTGAATGCTGTGCTTTGAAGCTTCTAAATGACTTTCCTGAGCTGGCAGAAACTGGAGAATGACAGCCTGCTTGACTTGAAAAAGATTGATGCAACACTTGTGAAGTCAATTCGGATGGCAGGGCTTTTAGCTAATGATGAGCAAGCATATTCCTTAGAGAGCTGATATCAGAGGCTGCCACTCTGTCTACTGCGTCGAAAACGACACGCAATTTGGCAGCAGGAGCGTTGAAGGTGTCAGGGTCAATGATGATCTGCGGCAGGCACGCTTTGCAAGCCGCTTCAGCTAACAGCTGCAGCTGCACATCCCAACCTCCACTTGAGAGATCGTCACACCCGCATAAATGCCCGTGGCGGTTGGTTGACAGTCATTCGGCTGACACCTCAGTGTCATGTATATGAAAAGATGTATCATGAAACTTCCTGTCTTCACAAAAGCTCGGGACTGCAGAGGTGGCTCGATGTCATCGAGGAAAGTGAAAGAAATGGATGTCCGTGAATAGTCCAGCCTGCGGGAATTTCGTCTGGAGATTGTCAACGCGATGTCTCTTTTGACGAAGAACTCTGTAGAGAACCTGTCTGTGACCATTCTGAGCTCTGGACTCATTTGTAATGACCTGCCGTCAAGTGCAGAATGACCAGCTTCCAGTTTCCATGTCACGTTCTATTGTCTTTTGCATGTTGTTCTCGATTACTACCCCAACTATAAAACCCCTATAGATACTAGTTTCAATTGGATTTTCCATGCAATGTTCCATCAGTAATGCAGGTCCTTTGCATCAGAAAAGCTTGGCCTTGGGATCTTGCAGCCTGCGGACCTTACTGAGTCAGGGCCGAGTAATAATATAATCGCAAGAATATTGAAAATCAAGATGTGTAGTATCTATATTTGTAGCAATAGTAAATAGATGTAAATAGCACAACAGTATTCCGCCTCTCCACCCATCAAATCTCTGAGCTCGTCGCAGGGGCCGTGGCATCACCATGCATTGTGACCTCAAACATCTGCATTGGCGGGTTCTGTGAGCTCTACAGCATATTCTAAGTGCTAGCATGAGCATGGTGAGGGACATATTACGACACTTTGACCTCAACATTGCACTGCAAATGCCATTTCGCGCGCAGTCTCCCCTCTGACGCGGCAAAGTCCTGTCGCGCAGCATGCGCTTTGTACAGAAGCCTGTAGACTGACGTGAATGCTGCTGTGCAAATTCTTTGCACTGCATTCTGCCAAAGCACGCTGGCCCGTGTTTGCAAGAAGCTTAACCTCACAAGTGCTCACAATGGTTGAGAGCTACTCTGAAGCCACTAATAAAGGTTACAGGGCCAGGTATGCTATCCCCATCTGAACTCGGAGGCTTTTGCCAAAACCAGTTCAAAGCAAATCGGCGTTTCCTCATAATTTCCTGCGCTTCTTCAGCGGCGATGGTACAACCACCTTGCTGTGGGGTCTAGGCTCAGAATCCCCTAAGTATATTATACTGTATGAGAATATAAAATAGTATTTTCTAGTGTAATAGAGTGTCTTCTAAAATCTTCTATAAAATTTTTGTAGATTGTCGGATGGGAGAAGTTGAAATCCGCCTGCCTCGTCTGTTTCCAGATCCTCTTCTTCCCCACCCTCCTCAGACCCATTCTCCATTGACACGTGGGTCAGCCAATCACCTTTGCAGTGCAATGGATTCAAGCGAACGAGTCGCGTCATGGCATTGGAAAAATACATGTGCATATATGTGTTTATTTATCTATCTATATCTTTAATTTATATATTCATATCACTGCAATAAAGCTGCCCACTGACATTGGAATGGGTCTCCTTGGCGAGGGGACACACCGAAAATGTAAGTTCACCACAGCTGAGCAGACAACAACAAAAAATGGGCCGTCATCAGCATGCAAAGGCTCGAAAGCTGACAGCTCCGAAACCCCTCCCAATCGTGGACCTCACTGCATGTTAAGACATGAGCTGAAAGTCTTTTCCTTGCTGAACTTGGACTTGTTCTTCTCCTAAGCTTTGCATGCTTTGCCAACATGTCGCGCAATCCAAGAGAAAGAATTGGGCTATGCTCTGCTGAGGATCAAATACATCATGTGCCTTCAACAAAGCTGTCACTGCTGCTCGGGGCTCAACCTGTGATTCCCGGGCAAGGTGATAGTATTCAACATGCTCCAAAGCCGTTGCCAAACCGGCGCCTTGGCGTTCAGCTCTTCATAAGAAGTTGGGAAGTCATCTGGCTCATCAGACACGTCAACGGGTACCAGCATGGAGTCATCGTCCATGTCATCCGGATACCTTAAAACTAGGAGGACTGACTGCAAGATTACAGGGTCACAAATGACGAGCAGCATCAAAGCTTTGACGTCCTCTTTGGTAACGTCCTGAACACGGCGGACATCTGAATGCTGCCTTGAAGCTGCAGTCCACATCACATCTTGAAACATATTGCAGCTTTGGATCACATCCCTTCTTCCCTTTCACCTTGCCTTTGAGAGCCTGATAGTCGACGCACCAAATTCTGAGGAACAAAGCTCACTGCCCGGCCTCTAATCTCTCCTTGCTCAGATATAGAATCCTTGACTGCAGACGATGACTGCCCATTCATGACTTGAAGAGTTTATGTCTGCTGGAAAAGAACTTGTCATAAGCAGCATCCTCAATGAAACCTCGGTGTGGCAACAAGCTTGAAAGTGCTGCAACTTGCTGGAAGCCTAAGTGCTGGGGTGCTGGCCCGCAGCAGTATTCGCCATACTGGCAAGGGTCCTGTCAGGATGCTTAGGCCTATCCAGATCTTCATGGATCATCAGCTGTATGGCAGGACCATGGCCGCTTCAATTCTGCCACAATCACTGGGCACGTCACCAAGAAACAAAGCCGCTTGCGTGCACCACCCCGTGCTATCAGTCTTGGGCAATGCGGCTGCTGAAGGAACTGACTTGGAAGTCTAGACTCCATCCTCACAAGCAACAACACTTGTCTATCACATAAGCAATATTCAGGATTTGGCCACGTTGGATCGTGCTTGGTGCTCTCCTTGGAAGCATGTGCCGACAGAGAATGAAGAATTGTAAAATTTCCAGCTTGTCACTTGAAAAGATTGAGCCGGGCACTGCCAGATGCCAACGTCCAAGGGGCCGGCGAGGCCTGGGCAAGATGCAATGCGTAGCCCACAAAGCTAGCGGCGGAATCCGGCCTCCCTATACGACAGATCCACCTCTAAGCCAGCTGTGACATTGGACACAGCCTGGCCAAAATGCAACAAGGAAACAAGAAAGACCTTTACATGCCCAGCTACACATCAAGCCAATGCAAATTTTGCATTTGCTGTCAGAGTTGCCTTTACGCCGCACAACAAGGCGTAAAACACGGAAATCCCGACAGCGACAGCATGTCTTGGAAGACGACGACCTGCGAATCATGCATCATGGCAGAACCAAAGGGGCCAAATCCCCTGAAAGCCAAAAAATGGAACCTCCCAATAATCCCCTAGGTTCCCCAATGTGGTAATGGCGGTCATTTTGGGGGGGTTCCATTTTTGGGTCCTTTAGGGAGTCTGGGCAAGTACATGTCCTAAAGGTTGTTATAATTATTACTGTTATTCGTACTATTAGTAGTAGTATTACCATCATAATCAATACTAGTATTACTATTACTACGTCCGCAATTTGCCCATCAAGGCGCCTTCAGGACTGGGAAGCACATGCATGGAGGTCAGCGGCCCAAAGGCCTGACCCAAGGGAAAACCCCCCCGATACTGGTCGCCGCTAGAAATAGTATCAAGAACAACACTAAGAATACTAGTAGTAAGAAAGAATAGTAGTACTAAAAATCTCACTAATACTGATCATAGTAATGGCAATAATTGAAATAATAGAAAGAATAATAGTAGCAATAAAAAGAATAGCAATATAAGTACTAATAACGATAATCGTAACAGTAATGATAACAAATAATAATAATAACCTTGCCTTGCGAATTCAACTGATTTACTCGGGCCACGTCCCAAAGGTGGCAGATTGCATCAGCGAATAACTCCAAGACGGATGCGGTATGCGCACACAAAGGGCTATAGTCCCCCTTAATTAGATAGAATATGGGGTATATGGGGATCTTGTTATAATATACCCAAAGCCATATTCTATCTACTTAAGGGTGACTGTACATGTACACACCGAAACCAT